TAATATATAACATGCTTTCCTCAATACTTAATAATACTGAATGTTGAACACATCAACTAGCAAGGATAATTATTATCGGATAAGAAAAGTGATACAACGAAGTGAAAGAAAAGTTAAGTCATGCACATAATCTTATACCGACATGGTATTTTTAACACTTTTATTTTATCTTTTTTTTTTTAAAAAAGTGAAAGAATTTATTTTTTTAATTTTCTCTTTCTTCTTTTATTTCATAAAAAATTGCTCAATATGTCATTAAACAATTATTTTAACTAAGAATTTTAAATTATTAAATAAAAATTATGGGTTTAAATTAAATTTTTCTTTTACAAGAGATAACTTATCTCGTATAACCCAAAATGACATAGTTTTGAGATAGAAAGAAAGATACTTTTGTAATTTTAATTTATTTTAAGTTCATACTACTCTTTATAATTATGATTTTCTTTATCTCAATTCGAAAACTCTATCAAGTAATAGGAGATAATTAACTTTATCTTACATGATAAGAGAACCATTATGTTATAAAAAAAAAAAAAGAGAACCATTAAACTCAAAAATTATATTAATAATTTTATATTATATTTTCTAATCCACTCTTTCGCACAACAATTTATTTCATTGAAAGGATAAACAGGACACAAACTTGCATAATTATGTTAAAAAATTCCGTAAAAAATGAAATGGAAGAGAAACACAATTGCAACATATATTTTAAAAAGGCGTTTGTGAATTTATAAATATATATATATATATATATATATATATATATATATATATATTCTTGAATTTTATTAAGTTAATATCACGCTATATTTTGAATTAAATAAAATTTAGAAAGAAGCTAGGGATCCTTCAACTTGAATTCAAGGTATAATATTATTATATCTATTCTTGAATTTTAATAAGTTAATATCACGCTATATTTTGAATTAAATAAAATTTAGAAAGAAGCTAGGGACCCTTCAACTTGAATTCAAGGTATAATATTATTCCAACATCTTATTTTTTGCACTTTTTATTATATCCTTTTTATGAGGAATAAAGTGAAAAAATTCAATTTTATTATCTTCTCTTTCTTGTTTATCTTATACAAAATTGCATATAAACATGTGAATAAAAAATTGAAATATTAGAGAAATATTATTGTGACAAGTATTTTTAAATTTTTTTTCTTAAAGTGAAATTATTTTTTAAAATTAATAAAAAAAATCTATTCTTAAATTTTAATTAATTATATCCCTTCACATTTTAAATTTTATTTAGAAAGAAGCTAATGATCCATCAACTCAATCTATCAAGCATTTATATCTTGATTAGCTCTACGGGACAACAACCAAAATGTCACACTATTCACAACAGACTAAATTTTTTTTTCTAAAATGCCACGTCACCTAACTCTCTACAACACCTGGCGAGCTAGGTGTGCACACGTGGCAACAAGTTCATGGCTATGTATGCCACTGCACAGTGCAGTGAGATTATGTGGCAGACAGATTTTGCATCAGCCTGCCACGCAGCCTAAAATGCTACGCAGCTTGGCATATTACGTGTCTTTTTCTGACACATGGCCATATTCGCTGAGCAGAAAATCTGCTTACGTGTTAGCTTTTCTGACACGTGGCTATAGTCGTTGGCCAGCAAAGCGGCTTACGTGGAACGTTTTTCACGCATGTCAAAGTCACCCAACAGTGCAGCATTTTTAGTTCAATAAATTCACCACCCCCTCTCCCATTTCATGCATCAATGGTTGGTTAGAGTGTTGTTTCTCTTCTGTGGTTTTACATTTCATTTCTGTTCAGTTAATTTTATATTGTGTTTCTGTTGTCTACTTTTTTTTACATCCCATTTTTCACATTGTTCAATATATAGTCATCCGAAGTTGCATTTTTGTTCTTTTTTTTTCATCCAAAATTTTTAAAAAATAGTGATGGCAATAATTCATTAATTGTCTTAGTCTATTACAATTAGAGGAAATATTTTGGCCCTAATGGGCAAGTTTTTGAAGAAGATACAAAAATATTGTGCATGAGCCCGCAGTGTAGCTTTAATGAACTGAAGAAGACAATATACAAGAAATTAAGATTACAATGTGGTCAATCTCTGTCTCGCTTGACTGCTCGATGTGCCTCGGGTAAAGAAGGCATTTGTCTTATATCTGATCGACATGCAGCCATACTATCCGCAGTCAATAATACGGCGCTGGGCTGGCAACCACGCAAAGCATACCACGTTAACTGTATTTGACATCTTGCGAGTAACTTCAACCACAAGTTCAAGAATGTAATGTTGAAGCAGCAATTGAAGACGTTAGGGATAGTTTTCGACTTATTCATGTAGTTTTTTGCATCTTGTGTGGAATATTTCTTAAAGCTTCGGTCTTTGTTATTGTATGCAAGTTATACAACTTCGCGGTTGGATTTTTATGCTGGGTTAGAGAAATTAAAAGAAGCATGTCCACAAATAGCCGGATGGATAGATCGCATTCGAAAAGAGAAATGGAGTATCGCATATGATGCAAAGGATAGGGACGTGCGCTGTCGAACCCACGCAAATTATCGAGCTTAGCTATGTAGTGATAGGGCAACTCAGATCGTCTTCCAAAGAACCTGCTAGAAATCAAAAACGTTCGGTAAGATAAAATATAAAAAAGGAAAGGGGGATTTTGTTGATTTGAAATTTAAATGAAAACAGACTTGAAAAAGGGATTTAAAAATCAAAATTAAAAAGCAATCAACCTAAGGAATCAGGAATCATTAATTTATTTCGTCATTGGATTAAAAGATAATTATCGATTTGTGATTAGCCCTAATTAAATTCGAAATCCTCAAATTCAATTGGAAACCCTCTCTAGACTATCGCCTAGAGTTTGGTTGAATACAATATCTCAACTATACGATCGTAGTAGTTTTGATCTGTTCAACTTATGTTCATCGGGTAAATTAATCTGACCATTAAATCTAATGATCAATTTTCCCTTATAGAATGCAATCACATTATTCAGTTTGAATGCCTACAATCGCATGATATTCAACCTGAATTGGAAAAAAATGAAACTAATTTAAAAAGTTAAAAATAGATCCTCTAAAATAAACTAACAAACCTTTAACCTTAGATTGATTAAAGGTGTTTAGCCTAGCATCGCGAGGTTAAACATCATTCAAAATAAAATAAAGTAAAAGAAGAAGAAGAAGATGAAAAGAAAGAGTGCAGAATTTTGATAAAGAAAACTCAAACAAATTGCTCAATTCCAAAATCTGACTGCTGAACGGTTTCCTAAAGTTTCCCTTAAATAACCCTCATTCAGAACGGGTTAGGGTTCCAACACTTCAACCCATACATAAAATAAAAGCTGAATAAAATAAAATAAAACATTAAAACATGGCCTTGGGCCCTAAACACATTGGGTCCTAATTTAATTTATAAGTCCAAATGTCAAAATAAAATTCCAGCAAAAACACGTCATCTTGGGCTCAGGTTTAGACCATTTTCCTGTCCGAATTGGGCTTCAGTGGCTGAAATATCGATTGTAGCCCTTTATGTTAGCTGCAAAACGCAACAAGAACGGAGTCAATCGGACATCTGTAGCCAAAATACGAAAGTAGTGTAAATCTGGAAAATTCTAATAAAAATCAATTAAACCCAATCAAAATCTAGAATTATGATTTGACCCAAAAGACCTTTATTTAACTCAAATAAATTCTAAAAAATAGTAACCAAGAATAATAAATAAGTGTAACAAAATATGTGTTATCAAATTCCCCTACACTTATCTTTTTGCACTCCTAGGCAAAAATTAAAATAGAAAGCAAAAACTAAGACCAACCAATCCTTTCTAACAATCAACAACCATATAGAAAATACACAAAGATCACAAGTCTTTCACAGATAAACCAATCAGGACGAAAATTCCCTAATCTCAAATCACAAGACTTACTAATTTCAACTGCACATGCTAATTACAGAAAATGGTTCCTTACAGGGTGCTCTCAATATTTTTCTCTCAAGTGTATCAGGTAATCAGTGTATCACTCAAATCTACTAAAGAAAATCATTCTACCATAGGCTTTCTCGAGTTCTACTTCTCCACTGCTACTAACACATGCATGCACAATCAAGAGGGGTTTATGTAGGGTTGTAATGGGGCTGAGGTGAAGGTATGGATGAAATATGGAAACGAAGGTTAAACACCCTAGAAATCTACAAGAGCAAAAGTTAAGAACTACACTAAGAAAATAAAACAAAGACAGAGAAAAGATAGAAATAAACACATTTTTTTTCTTTTTGCTCTTTTTTTTGTTTTTTTTTTATTTTTGTTTTTTTAAAACAAAACGCATAACAGAAAAGAATTATATGGTCACCCCCCACACTTAAACTTTTGCATGTCTCAGGCAAACCCCTACACTTAAACACAACATCACAGTGAAACCAATGCTCAGTAGATCTCCAGGGTGTGGAATTAATTGGTTTTTCACTTAAGCTTGTAAGGTGGCTTAAGAAACAAATGATATAAAGGCTCAAAGGGGCTCACCGAGGGATAATAATGTAAGGGATGACTATCTGGCTAAAGTGGGTAAAATATAAAAATGAATGTCTGAATCATATTCATGCATGTAAGTGAAAAATACAGTTTCAAAAAGAACCGGAGTAAGTTCTAGAGAACAAAGATCAAGAGCAGAAGCACACAAGAAAGAAATAATGGCCAAAAGATGTATGCCATGTATACAGGCTCAAAACGTCACAAGGGTCAACCAAATCATGCAATCAACAGCACAACATCAATCAACAGGTATTGCAATCCAAGAATCGAGATCAATACCTAACAGACTATGCTATCAAACACTGTGATCTAAGTCTACTCCATGTACCACTCAATAATTACCAAAAAGAAGAGGAAAATCTACCTATGAAAGTCAAAAACTAAAAAAAAAAAGAAATAAAAATAAAAATGCAAATAACAGAAAGAAAAGAAAAAGAGGGAAGAGAACTCCCTGAACTCTCTAAGGAGAATAAGCAGCATCAAGCAGCCTGAACTCTGCTTCCATCTCTGTATCCTCATGTTGCTGTGGTGTTCCTTCATAGAAGCATTAATGAGAATATCCGTCAGGTGCCAAAGGGACATCCTCCTATATGCATATGTGCTAAGGGGACATGTGAAGGTGGTCTTCTCCTGATCCTCAGGTTCAATATGAATCTGGAAGTAACCAGAATATCCGTCTAAGAAGCAGTAATGAGATTTACCGGCCAACAGCTCAAGCATCTGATCAATAAATGACAAAGGGTAGTGATCCTTGCGAGTTGCTTGATTTAGTCTACGGTAATCTATGCAGACTCTCCAACTATTATGAGCTCTTGCCGAAACCAGTTCATTTTTCTGATTCGCTACTACAGTCACTCTAGACTTCTTAGGAACCACTTGAACCGGGCTGACCCACTGGCTATCTGAAATGGGATAAATGATGCCAGCCTATAAAAGCTTGGTGACTTTATTCTTCACCACTTCTAGGATGAGCGGGTTTAGGCGCCTCTGGGGTTGCCTCACTGGTTTTGTACCTTCCTCAAGCAAAATGCGGTGCATGCACATGGAAGGGCTGATTACCACAATATATGCTAAAGTCCATCCAATTGCCTTTTTATTTTCTTTCAGCAATGTCAGAAGCTTTTCCTCCTGCTCAGGTAGAAGGTTCTTGGCCACTATCATAGGTAACTGCTAATTTTCCTCCAGATATACATACTTCAGATGGTCAGGCAGAACCTTCAGTTCCAACTTAGGTGGCTGCTCAGTGGGTGGGAGAAGTCTAGTGGGTGCAGGTTCTGCAGAAAACACATTAACATCTAAGCCTGCAATCAAATTCTCAGAAATAGAATCATCAATAATTTCAACTAGCAATTTAGAATTCAACTTCAATGCAGAACCACTGTGCAAATCATCATCCAATGCGTGATTAAAATCAGAACATCACAACGCTATCTCAGCACAAGTTGTACAGTCACTACTGTCGGTACAACCATATGACAGATCAAAATCAAGGAAGGACGAAAATTCTGGATATTGAGCAGTTAAATCAGCAAAGATATCATCAACCACTTCATCTATTACATCAATACAGAAAACAGAATGCTCTTCCCTAGGAAATTTCATGGCATCAAAAATATTAAAATTGACCATGCTATCACCAAATTCTATGGAAAGAGTACCAGCATGCACATCTATCTTAGTCCTAGCAGTTTTCATGAAAGGTCTACCAAGTATAATTGTACTACTAGAAGTCTCACCCTCCATCCCTAAGATATAGAAATCAGCATGAAAAATCAGATTGTTCACCCTAACTAATATATCCTCAACTACACTAGAAGGGTGAACTCTACTCTTGTTGGCTAACTGAACAACAATACCAGTAGCACGCAAGGGACCAAGACCAAGAGACATATACACAGATTCAGGCATAACATTAATGGATGCGCCTATGTCTAACATGCAATCATGAAAAATAGAATTCCCAATAATGCAAAGAATAGTAAATGTCCCTAGATCTTGAAACTTTTTGGGCATGGGCTGGATGAGTGTTGACACATTCTGACTGACGCTAACTCGCTCATCTCCTTTCAGCCTCCTCTTGTTAGTGCACAACTCCTTCATAAACTTTGCATATCTTGGAATTTGCTGAATCGCATCCAGGAGTAGGATATTTATCTCTACCTTTCTGAAGGTGTCAAGAATCTCTTTATCTTGAGCTTTTTCCGCTTTCTTCTTAGACTGGGTGGCTCTTTGAGGGAAAGGCAAGGAGATGTGCATATCAGACATATCAGTGTTCTGCTTCCCTGCACTAGTGTCACTTCCCTGGGTTGGCTCAACGGCAGCTTGGGTTGGCTCCTCTACTATTTTGCCAGACCGTAGAGAAATAGCACAAACATTGCCGCTTCCCTTTGGATTTGGAACTGTCTGTGATGGAATGGGAGCTGCTGGAAGGTTGGGCCTGGTTCATTGATGTCTCCAATTCCCCAATATGTGTCTGCAAATTCTGGATTGTGGATTTTGTCCTCTGTTGAAATGCCAGATTGTTGGTTGGTGGTCATCTGTTTCATTAAGTCCTCTAAGGAAGGACCACTACCATTATTTTGTTGTTGCACTGGTGCTTGTTATTGTCGCTGCTGTGGGATGAACTGTTGCTTCTGCTGATATGGAATATTTTGCTGACTCTGTTGATATGGAACATTTTTCTGATTTTGGTTCCATCTGAGGTTGGGATGATTCTTACAGCCAGGATTGTATGCGTTGGAGAATGGATTATTCTGCTGCTGAAACTGTGGTTTCCCAGGAAAGTCTACAGCTACTGACAGTTCTGTAGGAATAGGGCCCTCTTGCTGAGAGGGGAAGCATCAGTGGGGTGAAAAGGGTCACCACATATGCCACATGGATTGCCGGACTGTGGAGCATAAGTCTGGACTGTCTGGGTAATTGCCAACTGTCTCACCATGGTTGCTAGTTCATCAAATCTATTTTCAACTCTCTGATTGTCAGTACTTGATGCCACTGCTGAAGGCTGGGTCGGAGTCGCTTGCACCTGGTACACAACGCTGCTATTGGCTCTCGTTCCAAACTATTGAGCTTTTGCAGCCATGTTTGAGATCAACGCCTTCGCTTCATCGGGTGTTTTGTCAACAAGAACTGCTCCACTGGCAGCATCAATCAGGTTCCTATCCATATGTAGCAGTCCCTCATAGAAGTAAACAATAATTAGTTGGTCAGGAATTTGATGACATGGACAGCTCGCGAAAATTCTCTTGAACCACTCCCAGTATTCGTACAAATTTTCTCCATTTGCTTGCCTTATTCCACTGATTTCCTTTCTGATTACAGTGGCCCTTGATGAAGGAAAGTACTTCTCGAGGAATAGCCTAGACATATCAGCCCAACTTGCAATGGACGAGGGTGGCAGGTAGTACAGCCAATCCTTAGCTCCACCATCCAAGGAGAATGGAAAAGCCCGCAGCTTGATTTGCTTCGCATTAACTCCTTGTGGCCTTGTTGCGACTCGGCAAGTGCATCGATCGTGAAAGTAATAAAGTGTACCGGAGTACTAGATCGTTCCCACGAGGATCAAAATTTCAAGCACTAGTTCTCTAATTGCGTTTTAGTTGGACAATCAAAGGTTTGTTTTAAGAGAATTTAGATGAAGAGAGTTGTGATTCAAGGAACTTAGAATTAAAAACGAGTAAAGGCATGCAATATGAAAATTCAGAATTAAAAGGATGAATGAAGATGATGTTTGATTAAGATTTAAAACAAGCGTAGTTAAGGTTTCGACTTCCCCCAATATCCTCAATATGTTATGAATTAAATGAACAAGAATCCGTTTCTTAAAATATTGCCAATCAATTCTATCTGAGTTAATTACGGCTCAATTCCTTGTTACCATAAATCTATGTAATCTTGAAAGAACTCTAGTTCCCCGATTATTCCCCAAGAAAATATGCATTAAGATCAAGAATTACAAGATTGCATAATTACCCTATGTCTATTCTATTCCTATTCCTAGATCACAAGAATTATGATAAATTATCAAGTCAGGGTTCATGCCACCAACATCCCTATTGTCATACAATTCCCCAAAATCATTCTATAAGGAACAAACTCATAGAAAGCATTAAAGATGGATAATTTATTCAATTATAAAAAGAACAGGATTCGGAGACAATTTAATTCATAAACATAAAGATTCAATTGGGTTCCATCTACCCTTAACTACATAAAAGACTACTCTAGCATACTGAATTGAAAACAAATAATAAAGAAAAGAGAACCCCAAGCCTCCATTGGTGTAATGTTGACTTGGTTCCTCAGTGTTCCAGTGCTCCGCAACAGGATTCCTCCTTGGAGTATGAATGGGGATGAATGAATTTCTGAATTGGTGAATGAGTGAGTTGGTCTGCTCCCAAGCTTCTTATTTATAACCATAGGAGTTGTATCCCTCATTAAATCTCCCAATGAATCCATATCAGATTTGTATTTGATTTCATCTTTGTTTCCTTTTTGCATGTAATATCTTGGAGATTTGGTTGACGAATTAGAGCTTCAAATCTTTGTTGTATCTTCATCACATCTTCCCATTGGATTTATATCTTATTTCAAATCAAGGTTGAGTTGTTTCCTCCTTGTATCTTTATGGAATCTGCTTGCATACCTTGATCAAATCTTTCCTGGAGTTGGCTTGACCGTGTATGGACGTTTTAGCATGTTGTAGCGCGCTAAAACGTTCTTGATATGTATTCTTGTCTGCCTTCACATGTTTTGGCGTCCAGTAGCATGCCAAAACGTGCTCTTCGAATGGTTTTGGTTGTTTTCTGGATGTTTTGGCATGCTGTTGTGCGCCAAAACGTTCTCCTCCAGGGGCAATGGTGTTTTTCTTCCTTTTGTACGTTTACACATGCTTCATGGACGCCAAAACGTCCTCCTTCAGCTGGTACACACTTGAAATCTTGCTTCTTTGAGGTTTGAACTCATCTTGTTGTATTTCTTTGGCTCCAAAAAGCCATAATAGATGTCAAAAATCCTTTGAAATAAGAAATATGACAACATGTTAGCAAGTTATTCAATTATTGTAACTTTGCGGTATAAAACCCTAATTTTTCATGCAATTCACAACATATATCCATCATATTTAAGCCTAAAAACATGGTAAACCAAGGGTTTATCAACCATTCCCAGATTTGAACATTGTTATCCTCAGCAATGCACTAGAATAAACTTAATGGAATTCAATCTAGACTCTCAATTGCATGGAATTCATAGGCAGAATTTAATCAGAGAAATGACTACAGAGCATTCAGACTTAAGGAAAGGATGATACATCAAAACAATAAGATCAATAATCCATCGGTAAAAACTTTTAATGAAATTCCTTAAGATCAAGAACAGGGGAAACTTCCTGAGATACTCCCTCACTAGGTTTATAATTCACTCTCGTTCAACTGTCTAGAGGGTTGGTGTTTCTCTCTTATTCCACTGAATCAACACTACCATAGGCTTGCTTATATTCTCACTCTCCACAGTTCTTAAGATAAATCAAGCAGATCAAGAGGTCTTTCGCAAGGTTGTAACGTGGCTGGTGAAAGGGAGGGAAAGATCAATTCAGATTAAGGAATGGAACAAGTGTTGTGCGTTTCTTCCGGCTGTAAAGCTTTTCTTCTTCTTTCCAGTTCTTTGTTCTGCTTCATTGAACCATTTTCTTTTGTCGTTTTCTTTCTAAGCATATTTTCTTGCTTTTCACTTCTTTTCCTTTCTTTGTTTTGAGCATTTTGCTCGCTTTTCTTGATTCTAATCAACTTTTCCTTCTGCTTTCTTCCTTGGGCTTTGCCCTTTTGCTTGCATTTCTTCATTCCATTGAACGCCTGCATAGTTGAAACTCATATCCACTCCTTTCTTGAAATCTGAAATTAATCTGCTATTAAGGTAAGGATTCAATTGGAGAAGTGGCTATTCACATTCAAGGGTTATTCATGAACAAAAAAGTCTAGGCTCAAGGGGGCTTAACTAAGGAATATCATCTAGGTTAGCTATTTGGCCATCTAGTTAGAGAAAGAACATGCCTCTATCATCTCTACAGAATAAATCATAGACTATTTCAATCAAGAAACAAAATAAGTTCTAGAGTATCTCAACAATGGAATGCACACTCAATAAAAAATTTCTGTATAGGCTCAAAACCTCACGGTTATGAATGCACAGTAATTTCCCTGTTCTTTTCCTCAAACAACTTTCAATATCAAACAATATATTCAATGAATCATGTCACTTATTGCAATGATGTTCATAAAAATTATAGGTAAGTGCATCATCATGCTCTGAATCAATTACTATTTAAAACATCCCGCCATTTTTCCAATTTAAAACACTAAGAAACTTTGAAAACTTTTAAGAATTTTCACACAAAAAATTTGGCTTGGGGTTTTTCAACAAAAACAATTAAAATTATCTAATTAAAACTTGTAAAAACAAAAATTAAAAATTGCAGTAAAAGGGATATGAGATAGTTCCCTGTCTTGACCGGAGATTCTGTGTATACTCATGAAAAATTCCTCTAGTCTCAATCCAATGTGCTTAGATGGAGCGCGCATTCTCCATTCCCAGGTTTAAATGTTGTTATCCTTAGCAATAGATTTAAATCTAAAAATAAATCGTGTGCAAGCTAAGCATAACTAGTCGCTTATTCTGAAACAGCATGAAACAATCTAACTCATCAGTCATAAAAGCGATAATATGAAACATGTCACAGGTTAGCATATCAACAAAAGATGCTAATCTCAAATCATCGAAAGAAAGTAAAAGGGAGAATGGGAAAGGGGGTGTCATAAATGAGCCAATGTCTCAATCATCTCTGTCGTCCTCCTCAGCGTCTCGGACAACGGCAGGAGTCATCTCTATGTCCTCATCATCCTGTTTGACATCAGCATCGGCATCCTCTACAGCATGTGAAGTGGTGGCCTGGGCTGTCGAAGTGCTCCGCCTGGCAGCATCAAAAGTGGCCTCCTCATCTGATCCATCATAAGGTGTGGGCTGGAAAGGTGGAGGTCCATCAGGTCGAGCAGGGTGATGATATGTTGTCATATACGTCTGATACTCTTGCTCCCTGTGATCCATATGCCTGAGCCTCCTCCTGAGAAATCCTATCTGCGTCTCCAGATCATCCAGTCGGCTGTCAGTAGTCGAAATTGGTGGTCTCTCAGCTGGAGCAGATGGTCTGGGTGCGCGTCTTGGTCTGCCGCGAGTCTCTGGTGGTGGCACTGGGCCGTCATCTCCAGGAACAGAGGATCCTCTTATATAAGTAGAAATGTATTTCGCATCTATGATGGGCTTCAATGGGATGGTATCTCCCTCTGTAGGGATCCCCACTCCTGCTACTGCATATAAATTCTAAATCAGAGAGGCATGGCCAATGGTTGCTGTCTTGTCCTTCTTATGGGCCATGTCATAGATACTGCCAGCTAGTATCCTAGGAAAATCCACTCTCAGCCCCTTCATCACAGTATAAATGAGGAAAACTCGCTTCACCACTATTTCAGTTTGATTGGAACTGGGCATGATGTTGCTATTAATGAAGTGGTGTCATACCTTAGCCACATTATTCAGTTGTTTCAGCCAAATTTCTTTGGTTGGCTTCCATCTTTACTGGGGTCCCGCTTCTCTCCAGGAAGTGTGAGACTCAAGAGGATTGGCTCGGCTACTCCAAAGGGATCCTCCATCTCATACGTGATGGTGTCGTGAGTGTTTTGGAAATTGCAGGTAGTCCGGCCAGCTGAATCATGGTTTGCTGTTTCAAGCAGCTCCTGAATTGTATCAGAATCATACAGTACTTCCTTCCCCCTGACATAGCTTACATGTTCCATGTTGGCTCCTTGCTCAACAGTGTAAGCATTTGCATAAAACTCTCGGACTAACTCCTCATGGGCAGGTGCGGGAAGTCTCCCGAATGCTCTC